GTATGTTTTGTGTTTGTTGTAAAGAATAAAAAATTTTATATAAAAAAAAAAGAAAATAAAGATTTGTTGGAAAAATATTACAATTGAAAAACCAGTCTTTCTGATGCTGGAAAAAATAATTTCATAAACATGTAGGCCTAAGTACATTTTTTGCTGTTTTTTACTGTAATTTTTGTTGTAGATGCCAAGAAAGTTAAAGTTACTATGTCCTCCTTTACATTTGTTCCTCCCTTGCCTGTTCAGATATCTAGTAACCCTACATGAGAATGGCCTTCCAATCCAGAAAAGGTTGTCATTGGCAAACAAAATGGATATTCACGAAATTCATTAAATTTATATGGTCGCTGGTCTCAAATGCATGATTCTGGGCAGCTAACAATTAAAAACAGTAAAACAATAAAGAAAAACATATATAACATAAAACAGCAGCCAAGCAATGACACATAGCAAACATCCACAATCACTACAGCCAAGAAACAGGCTCACCCATGTTACCAGGGCTCCAGGCTTGATGGCAAAACAGGTCTTCGATGCCTTGCGATAAGCCAGCAGGGTTGCGATGAGTCTGATCTCCAGGAGTATGAGATTTCAGAAGGTGGGTGCCACAACCTAAAAGGCTCTCTTCCTGGGTCCTGCCAGATGGACAGGACCTGGAGCATGCCTCTCCTACCAGATCTAACAGGATGGATAGATACTACAGGGGAATAGTATCTACCCATCCTGGGTAAGTAAACTGGCTCCAAGCCATGAAGGACTTTAAAGGTAACCACCAACACCTTGAATTATACCTGGAAGCAGACTGGCAGTCAATGCAGCTCATGGAGCAGAAGTGTCACACGTGCCAAACAACAGGCACCCTGAACTTCCTGTGCTGCCATATTTTGCACCAGTTGAAGCTTCCAATTACTCTTCAAGGGCAGCCCCGTGTAGAGTGCACTGTAGTAATTCAAGCAGGGAGGTGACTAAGACATGAGTGACTGTGAGTAGGGCCTCCACCTTTGAAATGTTGCTATGCTTGAATCCTGTAATTGTAATCACAAGGGAACAACCACTTGAGAAAAGAGTAGGACTTCCATCAGATTCCACTAGATGTCCTTTTTCTCCAGCACTTTCTTAATTAGCTTCTTAATAACTAGGCAGGAATGTTGGAGATTCTGCTGGGTGCTTGTTAGATTCAGAATGTTAACTGATCATTCTAGCACCTCTACGTAGCATGTTCTAAGCAAAATTACATGCCTTACTTTTTGAAACAAAGCCTTTGTAGCCCTAAAACTCCCAAGGCAAAAAATAATTTTTGTCTGACCAACAAGAGTCACAGTACTTAAGGCATGGTTTGCTCTGACCATAGTGCTAATTTATAATATTTAGAATTTATCTACTTTCATTTTAACTACATAGATGTCTTTGGCTGAGTTCATATATAGTGCAAAACTAGGATTTTAAAAATGATGGGTTGATATACTTTCCAAAGGGGCCTGGGCCACAGATAATATTAAGCCAAAATGTGTGTTTTGGTTTGCATCTTTGTACATGGCTTAATGTTATGTGTGAACCAGACCTATATGTTAGATAATATCAGTAAAACCACAGGTTGATAACACTAACTGATCTTTAAAAAGCTAAGCATTGAACCTGGTTAGTACTTGGATGGGAAAGTACCAGGAAATAACCAGGACATTTCAGGCCTGTGGGCTAGATTGGGAAGTCAGAAATATATTCTGAAAGGTACTGGCAAGGCATTTCCTCCATGTAGTCCCCAGGAGATGGATCACTTAAGAGAAAGTTTACTTTAATCCAAATTATTGGGGGTTTCTGCATTTCTTGTCAATTTAAAAAATTAAGCTGAGTCTGAGCAGGAAAAACATGTTTTAGCCAGTTTTAGTTTTAGTTTTGTGATTCCTGCAGTCCTCTCTCTTTCATACCGCAAACCCAACCCCTCGCTTACACACTGTCTTCAGAAACCATTCCCATGAGTTCCTCAACAACCCTTTCCCCACTTTAAAATATGCAAACTTCTCTAAGTTTATTCCAACGCAGCAGCAGAGTTCGGGTGTGCCAGCCGCTCCCGCAAATGTTCTGAGTGCAAATTTCCCGTGGTGTTGGGTCTTTTTTCGGATACGGAGCGCTTTGATAATTCGCCGCTGCCTCCCCGCAGGCTTTTTGTCTTCTCCATCTGTAGCTTCTTCTCTCTGCTGACACGGATAGTTGGAGAAGTCACTTTGCACGCGTTCCATTGTTGTCCGGAGCAGTTTCGTGCTTCGGAATGAACACCCCGAGAGGCTCCAGTAGAAGAGTCGGGAGGAGGAGGGGGAGGCAGCACCCCATTGGTCAGCAGGACCTGTGGAGTCAGACCATTGCCATGCCAACCTAGCACTGCCTCTGGTTTCCTGGCAGCTGCCTTGTGGAGAACTGGGTGTGGCGGAGGAAGATGCCATGCCAGGCAAAGCGACCAAGGATCCGAAGAGGCATTTGCCTGGAGTGGGAAACTGCTGGCTGCCCTCTCCTAGGAACCGGGGCAGCCGCTTAGCGCTGCGTGGTTGGCGGCTCCAGCTTCGCCGTCCGCTCTCGGCTGCAACTTTGCTGGGAATTCCTGCTCAGTGGAGCGTCCGGGGAAGGATCCTCGGCTGCGTTTCAGTCGAGCGCCTCTGGGTTGAAGCGGCGGCCGCTGCCAGTCCCTACGCTCGCTCCCAGCGTTCAGGCGCGCTGCGACCTTCTGGGCTTGTTGGGAGGGCAGCCCAGCTCTGGCTCTGGGCGTGTCTGTTGGCTGCCCATCTCTGCTCTCCTAGCGACTCCGGAGCCTTCAGCAGACACCCATCTCAGCTGGATCGTCTCAATCCAGTCCAAACTTTCATGTTTGAGATCAGTTCTGCCTTCAGTGGTGGCTCTGACTTCCTTGCCTGGATACTGACTGTGTGATAGCCAAGAGCAGAAGGCATTCTTCTCTCCAAGTTCTGCTAGGTTTCACCTGGCCCTGAGAGCCTGGGGGTCCACAGCCAAGTGTCCCCCTGCCACTGTATTGTTAGTGCCATGGCTCATTGCCAGCAACGGTGCAAGAAGCAGCTGGGGCGGGCGATCCGTTTCTTCTACCAGTTTGTCACTGGGACCTTGTCTCAAGGTAGGAGTTCCCAGCATTCTGGAGGAGGGATGGACTGGGACATGTGTGGTTCCACAGCAGGTGCAGGGATGGTGAGAGCCTAGGCATATTTTGTGTTTGTGTGGTGGGTCTTAAAAAGGGCTGAGCTCTACAGGCAATAGACGGGAAAAGTACTGTAGCTTGCCCAGTACCCCCATTATAGTTGTAGATCATTGTGGTTCTTCAGAAAAGGGAGAAAACAGCATACAGTAGACATTACCTGAAGATCATGGGGAGCAAAATTATGGGTCTGAATTATTCCAAATTCAGCTTGGGTTTAGATAATAGGCATGCTTCACCCTTTTCAGACTCATCCTTTCATGCTGAAAGAGCTCTTGTGTTGGTTTCCATGTCCTTTCTCCACACCACTCTCTACAAAGCAATTAGTCAAGTGTCTTCACTGATAGACAGAAACTTTGCTGCTAAAATGAAATTGCATCTACCCAAGAGTTGCTCTGGGAGGAGAGTCAGGCTAAAGATCTGCTGGATCCAGTCTTTGGGTTGGAGCTCACCTCCTTTGATTTTACATCCGATAGTCTATACTCTTATCTGTATCAGGGAAAAGTAGATGAGCTAGAACAGAGTAACCCTACATTAGCCTTCTCCAACCTGATGCTTTATAGATGCATTGGGCTACAATTCCCATAATCCTCCATGCATAATCCCCAAATTGAAGGGGGTAGTTGATGGGAAATATATTAGGCTGCCTCTGACCTACTTTAGCATTTAATGCTGCACTTCTCCCTTTTACTAATCTACCTTTTCCCTAATTTGCAGAATCATTGCATTCTTGCACTCTGGTCTTTTCTCTCCAGACTGTTCAGTAATTTTCAAAGAATCTCCATTGCTTAATTATACTTCCCAGAGCCTGTAAAGGGATGGTAGACTATCTGATCTCCTTTCTGCTCTGTTATCTATGGAGGGGTCCAATGTTTCATGACTGCATAAGTGAGCCTGTTCTGGACCGATGGCAAACCAACAGGTCCAGGCTCAAATGGGGTGTTTTTACATGATATACCATAGCACATGTTAGTCCTAGATGGTGTGTGAACCCAGCTGATAAGGTTATGTTATGTCTAGGGTACCATGTTAACAGAGAAAATTGGGTTAAGTCAGGAAACCATGTCATGGGCTAACATGTGATACACACATAGCATTGTATAGTATGATGTTGGGGACTGCTATTTGAAAAACTGAGGGGCGGCTCTGTGTGTGTTTGTAAAATTCTTCTCTTTGAAGCAGAATCATCCATCTGCTGTGTCTCCCAGCTCCAACTTTAGTATATAATGCTTATTTTATTCCAAATATGGCAAGTTCTTCCTGAACAAGCAATAGAAATAGTATAGCTTTCTGATGTATTGCTTATACATGAAATTTATCTGTCTTTGTCTTGTGGAGATGGTAACTCCAATTTATCATGAGGGCTATTTTAAGTTAACATCCAGGATCTGGAGAGTGAAATGGAAAGTCTAAATGATGGTAGTATCTTTGGCTGTATATGTGCTCATTGAGACATCGATGCTGATCATCAATGTTCTGTCAGTGAGCATCATATTAAAATATATGAGCAAAGTGTTTAATAATATTGCAAAGGAAATTTCCTGCCTTATGTCCTGTTGATCTCAGTATAGGGTGCTTTATAGTTAAACTAGAATAAGCCTGCAATTTATTCTACTTTGTCATTTCCATCCTCCATTTGTCTGTATCTGCCACAGTTTGCTTAGTGCTCAAATGGTAAGTGAATTTTCAGAAATCTATTTTTAATCATTTGGGGGTTTGCTATGAACCAGGAGCCCAAACTCTGAAAGAAGCATGTTAAACCTGTAACTGTGTTGTTTGTTACCTGAAGTCGTCCTAGATCAGTGTTTCTCAACCTTGGCAGCATAGCTGGCTGGGGAATTCTGGGAGTTGAAGTCCACACATCTTCAAGTTGCCAAGGTTGGGAAATACTGTCCTAGATTCTTGCCAGCATAGCTGGCTGGGGAATTCTGGGAGTTGAAGTCCACACATCTTCAAGTTGCCAAGGTTGGGAAATACTGTCCTAGATTCTTGCCAGCATAGCTGGCTGGGGAATTCTGGGAGTTGAAGTCCACACATCTTCAAGTTGCCAAGGTTGGGAAATACTGTCCTAGATTCTTGCCTTGGTTTTCCTACTACTGAGGCCTCAGAGCCAAATGCAGCCCCTGAAAGACATGGGGTAAAAAATCAACAAATACAAGGGAAGTCAGCTTGATTAAGAATGGTAATTACTTTCATCTTGAGAACACACATCCCACTGTAGTTTGTGCCCTGGCCCCAGCTAGCCACTGGGAAATGTGGCCTGTAGCATATCACTCAAAGGCCAAATGTGCTCTCCTGGCCTCAGAAGATTATGCATTCTGTTCTCAGTCAAGCAACAGGCATACTCTGAGCCACTGGGGAGTTGTCAGACTTGTGCAATTTTTTTTTTTCTTCAGGAAGGGGAACAGCCAGAATTACTTTATCTCAGTGCACAAGCAAGAAAGCACAGGGATGGCTGGGGCTGATATTGAAGTTGTATTGTCACTATGATATTGTTTTTTATGGTTAAGAAAAGCCAGTTCATATGTTAGGTGGTAAGACTATTGAACACTGATGCATTCACTTTTGAGCAGTGAACATTACATAACATGAATTCTGTTTTTCACAATGGATCTGTATTAAATACTCACATATTAATATTTCTGGGGTATAAGTAATATTTTCTAGAGGTTTAAACAAACACAGATCACTTATATTCACTTGTTGTACTGTTCACCGTATCTTTGCTGCCTGACTGACGAAATGATTCAGTATTATTACTTTTTTTTAAAAAAGGACTACTTTGGGCAACTTCACTAAGCCGATTCATAGTAGGGACAGCTCCCTCCATATTACATTGTTCTCATTCTAAATGTAATTTAGTTTAATTTAGATGTAGTTGGAAAGTACAGGTGCTGTGCTGTAAATACTTTCGGCCCTTTCAGTAAAAGGAGGGGATATGGTTTTCCAGTAGAAAGCTCTTGTGAAAAATCTCTTCCCCTCTCTCTTTGTTCAGCCCCAACAGCATCATTATATTATGATTAATTCCATATCTATCTGTGGTTATCATTATTGCTGTTGTTGTTATAAAATAGTTTTAAACTGAGGAAATGCTGGGGCAAGTATTTTAGAGATTTGTATGGGAATGACAGTGATGTGCTAAAGAGTGGAACAGAAACAAATGATATAAATGTCAGTGTACAAGGAAGACTGTAGAAACAGAAGTAGTAAGTGTTGTGAGAAGGTTGAAAAATGGCGAGCTTCAGGTATAGTGTAACTAGAGAAAGGTTACAATATGGATGCAGTTTGCTTATGGAAGGGCTGTGCAGCTAATTCAATATATATGTGAAGACTGCATCAGGATCTGACAATTAGAATGTTGTTCTTTTTCCCCAATACAAAGGGAATGGTAGGAGAAGTAAACGCTAAAATTACAGAGGGATTTGTTTAAGTATGACTGGGAAGGTGTTCAAAAGATTCTGACTGAAAGGGTGTAAGAGGATACAATGAATAAAAATTGGGAAGGACAGTTCAACTTTATGAGGCTACAAGGTATACACACCAGATTTTTACTGTGTAGAAAGTCATTGAGAAACATATGAAGGTGAGAAAGAAAGTGTACTGCAGGTTTGTTGATTTAGAAATGCATACTTGGATAAAGTGAACAGGCTCAAAGTATGGAGTATTTTGTGAAACTATGGAGTTGAACATTGGCTGTTGAATGTGGTAAGAGCAGTACATGAAGTAAAGCATGTGTGAGAATACAGGTAATCCTCATTTAGCAACTGCCTTGTACAGCAACCATTCACATTTACAATGGTGATGAAAAAGTAACTTTGCCACCAGTCCTTGCATTTATGACCTTCGCAGGTCTATAAAGCAAAGGAAAGCTGAAGTAAGATTATAAGCACAGTTGCAGTTTCACGTATGACTGCTTTGCTTAATGACCAAGTTGGGTTAGACCCAATTGTGGTCACTAAATGAGGATGACCTGTAAATGGAATATTTAGTGAATGGTTCAGCACTGAACAGGGAGGATGATGACCCTTGATTGTTAATGTATTTATGAATAAATGTATTGGGAATGTGTGTGGTTGCACTAGAAATGTGTTAATTGAAAATGTGTGCAGAAGATGTACTATTGGATAAGAACCCAAATAATTTGTAGCAAATGTTAGATAGATTGTATGATATAACAAAGAGTATGGATCAGTGTATCAGAGACCTAGGAAGCTGACAGGGAAAATTAAGTGAATGATTGGAAATTATACATAAATACCAAAAGACAAGTAGATGAATACTTGTACTTTGGTAGAATGTTTGTTAAAAATGGGAAAATGGATGGAGAAACTTTAAGACTTAGAAATGCTGGTAGATGCAATATGCCCTGTTAAAAGAAATGAATGTTTAACAAAAGAAATGAAAATAGTTGTTCATAAGTGCCTGTTTCTGCCTACTTTGTTATACAGAAGTGAGAGTTGAGTATGGCAGTAGAAATATAAAAGAAAATTCACAGTAATGGGAATGGGATACTTAAGAAACCCTGAGCACCCAGGAATACATCAGTAAGATGGCACCCAAAGATGAGCTGCTGAGAGAATGCCTGAGGTGGCAGCAGACGTGGGAGGAAGTTCAAGCGGAGGAAGTATAAGTGCCTGTTTCTGCCTACTTTGTTATACAGAAGTGAGTGTTGAGTATGGCAGTAGAAATATAAAAGAAAATTCACAGTAATGGGAATGGGATACTTAAGAAACCCTGAGCACCCAGGAATACATCAGTAAGATGGTACCCAAAGATGAGCTGCTGAGAGAATGCCTGAGGTGGCAGCAGACATGGGAGGAAGTTCAAGCGGAGGAAGTGCTTATCTGTCTCTCTGTCTGTCTGTCTGTCTGTTGTCTAGTTGTACTGTAGGAGGTTCACAGCTATGTATAGTAACAATACAA